CCACCGGCGGGCACCTGGCCAGTCTGGAGGGCAGCGGCGGGGACCACTAGCCCCACCAGCACCCACGGGTGCAAGAAGTATCAGTTCTCTTCAAAACAGCTGGGGGCAACGTGGCGACTTCGGGAGCCCAGCGGCTTGGCCACCTTCCCTCCTGATCTGCTCCCAGCTGTCTCCCGAACCGGCTCGGGGCCCCTCACATGCGTGCGGCCGGCGACTTCACACACGTTCCCTGGGCGGCCAGCAAGATGCCTGTTTATCCTCCGGCGGCAAGGCGGGCTGGAACGATCTGGCATCGCCACGAGGCAGACAGTTACTTCATGCCCTGTTAACTCCTGATGCGGTAACTACGATATCATTCCTACTTTTGAAAGAGGTGCTTTTTTTTTTTTTTTTTACTTTTTAATATGTGGTGTAAGTGTCCAAATAAAGAACATCACTTTAATGAGGCTGAGTCCAAAAACATAACCTTGTTACCGCCGCTGCGGGGCTCCCAGCGGGCTTCGGGCTTTCAGGCAGTTAGTCAAGAAGTCTTCGTTCTTCGAGAAGGTACAAACAGGTCAGCAAAATGAAACTTTCCAATCCAGGCAGATGGTCCAGGCCGGGGGTCCCCGTCTAGCACAGCAGGGGCTCGGTGTGGGGAAGGATGTCTTTGTCCCTGCTGCCTGCAGCTGAGCCCACGGCCTCTGGGCGTGACCACCCACTGGCTGCCAAGGCGGGATGGGCTGTGGCAAATGCAGTGCCTCAGGATCAGCGACGAGAAGGCCTCGTTCCTAGGAGGCCATCATGTGGTCCACGTGGGGCCAGGACAGACCCTGACATGGTGCGACTCTGGCCACCTGTTGCTTCAGATCACGTCAGCTGGGTTTCGACAGACTCTCACTGCCCAGCACAGTGTCCCAGCCCTGCTGCTGCTTTCCCGCTCCCCCCAGTGCCTCTTTCCTGTGTTTATGTCACTTCTTGGCGTCCGAGTCTGCCCGAGGGACGCTGTCTATGTGTTCCCCACGAGGACGTGCCATTCCTCCGACACACCCCTCCTGACCTGGCGCTGGAGATGCAGACTTGATGTTTTGTCATCACCTCTCTGCTCCCGCCACCGTGAGATCTGAACGCTGCATCTTCAGTATCTATCACAATGTGCTGGATGGAAGGCGCTTGGCAGCTGGCTGGCGGATGGAGAGTAGGTGTTGACTCGATCTGAAAATACCGCAGATCCCTCTAGAACACCCAGGAGCAACAGGTGTCATGGCAAGTGCTTTCGCTGTACAACCAGGCAAACCTCAGCTCAAGTCGTGGCCCCATGCTGATTTGTGGCAGGACAGGGGGGCAGTAGAAACCTTGTCGGGGCTCAGTCTTTTCATCTATGAGATGGGTATAAGAATAGGAAATTTACACGGATGTTTCAATGAGGGTTGAATGAGATAGTAGAGCTGGGGATTCGTAAGCCAGCGGCTTACTAAGTGTGGGGTTCCTGTCTGCTGTGGGAATCTGGCACAGAAGGGGTCAGGAAGCAGAGAACCCAGTGCTGGCTTAGGTTCTGAATAGAGCCATAAGCTTCTGGGGCCAGAGAACAGCTCCACAAACTTTAAAGTACATGAACTCTTTTGGCTTGGCCCAAAGACTTCACCCAGCTCACCTAACCCACGGTGTGGCAATCCCAGAGGCATGGGGACACTTCAGACCTGCCCCTCTGCTCTCAGGGAGTCTCCTCCCCCCAAGAGCTCCTCCCCCCATCGAGGCTGCAGAGAAGCAGGCACGACTCTGCCTGGGGAACAGGGCCGACCTCAGGCCTGCTGCGATTTCATCTCATGAAACGTTGACATCACAACCACCTTCTTTTTCCTCCCTGCCAACCTTTGTCGTCCCTGGAAACCTTATCGAGCTAGCTTCTCCGTGGCTTACAGACAAGACGACTAATCGTGGACTTAACAGCTCGTCAGCTTCAGAAGCGGCTGCCCCCTCCTGTGCCTGGCTGAGAAAATCAATGTGCTTTCGAGCTGCCGTGTGTTCCTAGGGCCCCAGCCTCCGAGAACAAAAGAAGCCGGACTGCTGAGCAGTTCCGTGAACAGGGCTGAAGTTTTCCTGGCCTGAGGGAAGGCTTATGGCAAGTGATATGCTAAACGGTAGATCGGAATATCTTTATCATGCCCTTGAACTGAGGAAGCCAGCTCAGTGGTAGAAAAAGCACATCTCCGAGACCCTGTGCAGGACCGTCTGCCACCCCCACGGCAGGGGCAGGGGCTGGTCCCAAGCCTGGCATGATGGACGTCCTGAGTCCATGGGAACCACCCGGCTGAATCCACTGAAGGAAGAGTCGGGGTTCCCACGCAGAAGCCTCCTCCCGTGAGACGCAGAACTCCGTGTATGTCTGCTCGGTGACTTCCTGCGTAGGAAGGACCACCTGCCCCCTGTCCCCGTGTGACCTCTGGGCTTCCCTGCCACCGGTACATACCGGAGCAAATGCAGGAAAGGCACAGTGAGATGTGGGGCTGCTCTTGCCAAAAAGGTCTTTCCTTGCAACTGCTTTAAAATTATGCCTGTGGTAGACAACCCATCCCTAAGGACTTCCACTAACATGACGTGCTCATCCCCACAGATAACTAGGTGTGTCCATCGGCGTACATACAGGAGGGTAGGGAAGGGACGGTGACTCGTGGCGCTGCTGGGCGTGTAATTGGCACAGCCATTTGTAGTGTCCAGTAAAACACGAGACGCTCAGACCTTGCTCCCGGCCACTCTGGCAGGTCCAGGCTGCACACGTGGACAAGCAGGCATGTCTTAGCTGATTTCCTGACGCACTGTAATGTTGACACGCTCAGCCAAATCTAAGAGTCCGCTGAGCAGGGAGTGGCTCCAATGCGTCTGTGGTGACACACTGCAGAGCAGGGAAAAGGGATGGGGGCTGTACCTATCAACAGAGATGTCACTCAGACCCCTGCGCTACGTGGAAAGGGGAGCCTAGAATATTAGGTGAGTCACGGACACAGTCCTACCCAACCTCAAGAGCTGAGCTTCGAGCCCGTCTCACTAGGAAGCTTCTCAGGTCATCCCATCCCACCCGGGCCACACCATGTACCCGCCGTGGTGGCCTCCCTCTCCAAGAACCAGAAAGCAGGTCCCGCATGTGGCCCACCAAGGGTCTCTAAGCCCCTCTCCTGTTCCCACTCTGCAAGGCCACTTATGCTCAGCAAGCCACAGAGACCCCTTGCTGTCCCTTCCCTGGGGTCCCGAGGATCCCAGCTCCCCCCATACAGGTGTCTGCACGGGAGACGGTAAGCCTGAGCCACAAAGAACTCCAAAGACAAACATGACCGAAAAACAACCACACGTCATTCTGATTCCACCCAGTGACAATTCTCACTTATCACATGAGGGAAGAAAGGGAACATTGGCGGGTTTTGGCCCAGGGCTTCTGAGCTGCTGCCCAGGGCGAATTCCACCCGGTCTCCATGGACCACCAGAAGTTCCTGACTTACGTAGGACCGAGGACGAGCCCTGCCAGAGACCTGTGGGCACGGGGCCGACGGTGCAGCTCTGGCGTGAGCTCCCGCAACCCTGCAAGTCCCAGCAAGAGTACCGCACGTGTCCCACCCACTCTGCTCCTTCCGAGCCCCCACACCCCCCGCAGCCCTGGCTGGTCAGCGGGGGTGATCCCCAATCACCGTCCTAGAGCTAGACCCAGCACACTGGGGTCATCTGCAATTTCGTGTCTCACCAGCTGACTCGAGCACGCTGTGCAAACACAGAACACGAGAGAACGTACCGAAGAAGAATTTCTCGTGTCCGGGCTTTTCTTTGTTCTTCTCTAGAAAGCATTGTTATTGGGTATTTAAACACACACACACACACACACACACACACACACACACAAACATAAAACAAAAGCTCTCTCTCTCTGTGGGGTAATATAATAAAAGCCACCGGATGCTATTTTTAACAGCCATAAAAGCGCGTGATTAATATAGAAAAAGCCACAATGACAAAGAGCGTCACAAAGAACATCAGCCTGGAGTGGGAGCCATTGAAGTCAAGTGGGCTCACGGCCCACGTGATCAGTCCCGGCAGGCTGGGGGCCTGACACACCAATGGCCTCCACGATCCCTGGCTTTCATCAATGCAAAATACTGAGTGGGTCCCAGGCCAGCTTCTCAGCTCCTGGCGGGACACAGCACCGGGCCACGGGGGAGATCCCTTACGAGGGTCAGCAAGCAGAGCTGAGACGTGGCTGCTTGCTAACTAGCAGGCCAAGAATGCACCGTGATCCATACCTTCTCCCTCTCCCACTGTGGCACGTGGCTCGGGCCCTCAAACAAGGAAACGACCTCAGAAGAATGTCTCCACGGCCACCCAAGAGTGAGAGCCTGTGGTGTCAGAACAACAGCAAAGGAGCCAGCCTGCTGTTGGGTCCCCCAGGACCCAAGCTGACCCAGGACCCAAGCTGAAGTTTGTACAGATCCCAAGACGTGTCCCACAGCACCCACCTCTATCCCAGCCGCAAGAATCCCACACACCTTGCGATCCCATCCAATTATATTTAACACCTTCAAGCTCCCTGAGGTCCAAACACCCAGAGGGAAATAGAAGAGGCTATTAGTATAGGGAGGCAAGCCAGGCTCTGGTTGGAGATCACCAGCTCCCAAGGGACCCACTCAACAGAGGCAGGTCCAGGCCACCTCGAGAGGGAGACCTCAGGCAGCCCCTCTCCCTCGCTCCTGCACCCTCCATGTCCCTCTGTGATACACACAACACAGGACTCTGCAGGAACCCAGCAAATGGCAGTCTATACATCAAGGACTCCCCAGAAGCACGAGGACGATAGCTAACCTGGCCTTCACGGACAACCGGATTGGAGACTGTTGGGTAAGAAAGCAGCAAACAAAACAAAACAGCAAACAGGGTCTTGGCAAACAAAAATACTGGCAGCAAGTTACTCCAAAGCGATTCTGTGTCCTCGCAGCCCAGAAACAACATTTGTGGACCGAGAGAGTCTTCCTGCCCTTTACCTCCACTCCCTGGACCTTCAGCTTCATGTGGTCCTCTCTGGTCGTCTTCCCGTCTTTCCTCTTTTTCCAGCAGTATCCATCCTTCCTGTACTTTACTTTCTTCCTGTTGTAGAGGATCATTGAGCCATTCTGTGGTCTGGAAACAACAAATGGTTAAGTTACCAAGAGAACGGAGCACAAGAAAAATTTATGAAGAAAGATATCGTGGACCAGTAAAAGTCTCTACAGAAAAGCAGTATTCCACATTTGCCGGGACATAATTTTTCACCTTTTATTGCAGCTCCCTGGATTAACCATGTTTTATGGCCAGCCAAAATTTGCTTGTGGATTTGGTACCTAATGAATTAAATGTGTCAATGATAGGCTTAAAAAACATCCCCTTAGTAATATCCACCATCTAATCAAGATATACGATGTGGGGGTCTGAGCTCTGCGCTGAAAAGGAGAAAAAAACAGCAAGAGAAAGCAAAAAGAGCCGGGGGTGTTGTGGCAGCCGGCAATATCTTATCTCTTGTAGAAAGATTTTCTACACATCTTTTAATCCATCACCCAGCATTAGGAAATAAATAAGTTTAACGCAGACGCTAGATGACTATGTTAAGAACAGACCAATGGAAGGACTAGCCGTCCAGGCCACGCGCTCTTGATTCATTGCCCGCGTTTAGATCACTGCGAGATTCACAGGAACGTCCACAGCCCCTCTTCCCGGGCTGGCTAAGTACCTGATTCTTTCACATTTGGGCTTGGCTGTCGGAAGGCTCAGCCCTGCCTGGTACATCTGTCTGTCTGTCTGGTCCACAGCCACCCTAACCTTAGGAAAAGAGCCCACTTCCCACTTGCTAAATGCCGAGAGTGGCCAGTCGCTCTAGTGCCATTTGAAAAGAACAAACAGAAAGAACCTTGACTTTTCCTAAAAGAAGTCGCGCGCCAGTCACAGAGAGCAGAGGACGTCCGTGCGTACTTCCGCAGCTGCAGAGGGCACACGCTTTGGTCTGGAAACCCCACAAAAAAGAAAGAACCAAACTCCTCCGGCAGCACGTCCACAGTGAGCCCCTTCCAGAATAAAGCGGCAGCGGGGGTGGGCACCTGCGGCTGGCAAGGAAGCCTGCAAGTCCCCCCGAAGGCTCACAGCACACCGCTCACGCCCCGCGGCCAGCTCCGTGTCCCTCTGAGACTGAAACCCCGGCACAAAGGAAGGGGCACGGGGGAGTCCGTGCGCCCAGGAGACCAGCCCAGGCACATGTCACTCCCAGCCACCGCGCGAGGGCTCTTCACGCAGACAAGGCATAGGAGGGCGTTTCTTCCAGGGCCGGTGGGCTTCTGGGTCTCGGCTGGAGCAGAGGGGAGAGGGCAGGCCGGCCGGGCTTCCAGGGGCAAGAGCCTCCTCTTCCCCCGAACAAGGGGGAATTTCACAAGTAGGCGCCCAACACTGGCCAGTGAGGTCTTACTTTTCCATGGTCTGTAGGGGAAAGAAAGTCACACTGGGGTGACCGCGGCTAATGGCCGTTCCCATCCAGCCGGCAGTGTCCTTCAGCAGCAAGCTGATGACCGAACAGCAATTCCAATGGAAATTATAGACTTTCAACAGCGACTCCCACCACCTCATTGTTTGCCGATCACGGTGCAATTGGTTTGTGTCAGCACTGGTTTCCTCCCTAAGTCTGGCCGGCTAAAACAATTGGAAAATGGCTTCACATGCTTGTCACAATGCCGTCACCTGACCGTCTGTCTTGAGCTTACAGGTTTGCATTGAAAACCCTACAGTATTCTTCCATTTCTAAAGGGCAAGTACGCTCAAACGTGGGGCCGGCTGTGCCTGCCTCTTTCCACTTCAGCCCTGCTCGAGGCTCGTACCCTTGGGAGAACCCAAAGTGCAGCTGCTATGCTCCGGGCCGTGGCCTCAGGAGTAAGCCAAGGAATGTATCTGATCAAATAGACGGGTTCTGCATTTGTCTCGCCCCCTCCACCAGGAAGAAAGACATCCATGGAGTTGTAGGGACTCCATTGGTCCCAGAAAACTGGTCTGTTCCAACATCAATCCAGTCCAACTGTTCGTGAGCAAAGAGGCTACACAGAGATCTGCTCCATCCGCCCGCCCTTTCTAAACAGGGTCAGTGGGGCGCCTGGGAGGCTCAGTCAGTTAAGCATCTGTTTTCGGCTCAGCTCATCATACCAGGGTCCTGGGATCGAGCCCCGCATGAGGCTCTCTGCTCAGCAGGGGGCCTGCTTCTCCCCCTCCCTCTGCCTGCCACTCCCCCTGCTTGTGCTCTCTCTCTCTGTCAAATAGATAAATAAAACATTTTTAAAAAATAAAGATCAAAAATAAATATGGTTAGTGACCCTCAGCAGTATATTTAGACCAGCTGTCCCCAGATCATGACTGTATGACGCAGAGTGAACTTTCCCAAAATACTGTCAATGTCCACAGTCAGAACCACAACGACACCCACCTAAGGAAACCCATCCTTCTCCAGAGACCTGCCCTTTGCATTCTGGGAACGTGAGAACGGCCCCGTCACCCGACATTTTGAGATGGACACAATCCCACGGGGAACCAGTGTCCACCTTAAATGGCCTTAATAAATGGAATCATCACTTTAACTTGCCATAATGAGCAATGTAATGGTGTTTAATCCAGCACTCTGATTTTATTAGAACTTGCCTCTGCTCTGTGTCATGGGGAAGGCCCCTCCCTCCAGAGTTCTCAGGTTCTAAGAGAAAACCAGCCCGCAGAGGGGCCCCAGAGCTCGAAGAAAGGGAGGCTGAAGTACCGTCCCAGAAGATAATCCAGAGTAAGCCGGAGCTGGTGGGAAGGGGTCCAGGAGAGGAGGGAGGGGTGGGCCAGTCAGGGGAGGGCTTGAGAACATCTCGTGACAGTGTAAAAGGTAGCACTCACCTGATAAGAGTGGGGAAGTGGGAACAGAGTCGAGGACAGAGGGTCAAGTAGGCACAGAAGTCCTGCCCCTGGTGGATCCGCAGTCCCAGCGAGAGCCTGGCATGGGAGCAGGCCCCAGGCATGCTTATGCCCCCATCTATATCTGTGTCTCTGTCTGCCTCCGTATGTGTGTCTACACCGGCCTCTGCAGCTGTATCTGCCTGTGTCTCTAGCTCCTTCTACACCCCACTGTGTGTCTCGATGTCGACACCTGTACCTACATCACAACGACATCCACAGCTACATCTCAATCCATGTGATATTGTCATCATTTCCAACATACAGATGAGGGAACAAAGCCTTTGTACCCAGAAAGCATCTGCACAGGATTTACTTGGAGTCAGTGTGACTCCAGAGCCTCCCCAAAAGTCTCCTGGTTTAGCACAGACTGTGAGGCCAGGCCTGGTTTGCTCTACTGGTGGGGTGATCTTTAAGGCCCTGAAAGCATCCTGCACCCAGTCGGGGGATGGGAAGGGGGGATGATGTCCTGGCTTCCTCACCCCGCAACTGGGACAACTCTGAGGCAATCCCAGGTGCCCTCACCCCATGCTTCGGACGACTCTGGGTGCTCTACACGGTCTTCCAGAACCTACTTTCCAGTTGCCCAAGTGGAGACCTGCCGGGTAAGAGCCCTTCCTTTGTATTCCTCTCCCTCCTCTCTCACGTTCATGCCCCCTACTGGTGTTTCCTGGGACCACATCTCAAATAAATGTCTGGTATGCAAGTCCCCATCTCAGGCTCTCCAGGGGGAAACTGGGACTAACGCTGCCGTCTAAGAGAGCCTCAGGGAGACAAGTCCCCCATCACAGCGGAGAGGAATATCAAGGGAAAAAACGTGGACAACAGGGAGCTTCGTTCTAATGATGGGGTTCTAGCCAAAAACACTTTGAAGCTGAGAAACTAATGACTGGCAAAACCAATAACACTCATGCAGTCTAGTAAAAAGATCATGGGATCAAAGGAGAAACTACCGTGAATTATGAAAGTAAACAAGCAGATATAAAATGCAGATACATGATCAATAGTGTGTGTGTGTCTGTGTGTGTGTGTGTGATATGCACACACTTACACATGCACACACACACACAAATGAAACAAGAAGAATGACGGAGGACGCCGTCGCATATGTACTGTATGACTTACATCAGACAGTAAGCACTATGGAGAAAGAGGAAACGAAATATTTGGACATAAACTTAATAAGAAATTCTGAAAACCTGAGGAGAAAAACTACAAAAGTCTACAGGACAAGTTAGGTTCAGCGAGTGCAAAAGCATAACATAACAGGAAGAGAGAGGTCATAAAAACGTCAATCTTCCCAAAATTAATTTATAAATAAAAGGTAATGACAAGAATCCCATTAGGATTTTTGCTGGATCTAGAGAATTTTATTATAAAATTTATTGGGAAGGAAAAAACACCAGTGATAGTCAAAAACTTGAACAAAGAGGACCGAGGTGTAGAAGACAGCTACTCCTAAAAAGCCTCCGTATTTTCCAAAGTATAGAATTGACACATGAATACATAGAAAGACCAAGGGAACAACTAGGAGATCCAGAAATATTCCCACTTGCATATGCAAATTTAGTACACACTAAAGGAGACATTGCAAGTCAGTAGGGGAAGGGGACGACTTTCCTAAGTGATACTGGCATATGGAAAAAGATAAAATTGGATCCATCCCTAGCACTGTACAGCAGCATGAATTCCAAGTGGACCAAGATCTCAACATAGTAAATAAAATCACTCTACTGGGAGAAAATACAGGTGAGTTTCTCTATAACCTGAAAGCAGAGAAAACTTCCTCAGCGTGATCAAAAACCCAGCAACAACAGGTGAAAGACAGACACATCAGAGAACATAAACATAAAACTGCCAGACTGTGTTCCGATGGGGCAGCGCCATTGTACCTTCTGACTAGAACTGAATGAAGACTCCAGCATCTCCACACCGTGCCCAGCCTCTGGCATTGTCTTGTCTCTTAGGTTATGGCCATCCTCCTGGGTGTGTGGCAGTGTTTGCATTTAAATCTCCCTAAAGATTAATGACGCTGAGCATCTTTCCATGTCCTCATTAGCCATTCACAGAAGCTCCTTAGTGAAATGTCTATTTGAATCTTTTGCCCATTTTTAATTGAGTTGTGTTCTTCTTTTTGAGTTGTAAGAACTATTTTTTTTAAAGATTTTATTTATTTATTTGACAGATGGAGATCACAAGTAGGCAGAGAGGCAGAGAGAGAGGAAGGGAAGCAGGCTCCCTGCTGAGCAGAGAGCCTGATGCAGGACTCTATCCCAGGACCTGAGATCATGACCTGAGCTGAAGGCAGAGGCTTAACCCACTGAGCCACCCAGTTGCCCCTTAAGAGCTATTTCCATAAGATCTAGATAGAAGTCCTTTATCAGACATCAGATTTGCAAATGTTTTGTCCCAGTCTGTGACTTTTTCTGTTCTTTATGGGTTTCTTTTAAAGAGCAGAAGTTTTTAACTTTGGTAAATTTCCAATTTATTGATTTTTTTCTTTTATGAATCATTCTTTCAATATCATATCTAGGATTTCTTTTTCCTAGCCTGAGGTCGCAAAAATCTTCTCATGTGTTTTCTCCATAGTTTTATAGTTTCAGCTTTTACATTTAAGTGTATGATGCATTTTGAGTTAACTTTTGTGTATGGTGTAAGGAAAGGGCCCAAGTTGATTTTTGGCACGTGGACATCCAATTGTCCCAGCGCCATTTGGTTTCTCTTGTTTGTTTCTGCTTAAAAGAAAAAGAAAAAAAAAGCTGTCCTGTCCCCCATTGAATTATACTTGCACGTTTGATGAAAATACATTGACCATAAATGTAAGACTTTATTTCTGGACTTCATGCTTTGCTCTGTTTTCCGTCCTCATGACGATCCTATACTGTCCTGATTGCTGCAGCTCTGTAGTAAGTTTCGGAGTCAGGGACTATATGTCCTCCAACCTTGCTCTTATTTTTCAAAATTGTTTTGGCTATTATAGGTCCTTTGTATTCCTGTAAAAACTTTAAAGGTTAGTTTGAAAATTTCTGCAGCAACACAAATCCTGCTGGGATTTTGATAGAGGTTGCAGCGAGTCTAAAAATCAATTAGGAAAGAACCGCCACCTTAACAATATTGAATTTTCTAATCACTTCCAATCACGGAACATGGAGTGCCTTTCCATTTGTGTAAATCTTTAATTTCTCTCAGTAAGACTTTGTAGTATAGGTTTTATATTTTATAAATTAAATTTATCTAAGTGCTTTTTCCTTTTTGATGCTACTGTGAATGGAATTGTTTACTTTTTATTTTTTAAGTATGGAACACTTCATGAATTTGTGTGTGATCCTTGTGTAGGGGCTATGCTGATCTCCTCTGTATCAGTCCAATTTTAGAATACGTGCTGCTGAAGGGAGCACTGGAATTGTTTACCTTAAATTTTTTTTGGATTGCTCATTCCCACATTTCCACTTATAGATAGATACACAATTTGACTTTTGCATATCGACCTTGTATTCTGTGACTTTGTTAAATTCATTTATTAGTTCTAGTAAAAAAAAAATTTGTGGATTCTTTAGGATCTTTTATATTTATAATCAAGTCATCTATGAATAAACAGAGTTTCACTTCTTCCTTTCCATTCAAAGGCTTTCCATGTCTTTTCTTTTTCTTACCTTATTGCACTGGCTAGACCCTCCAATAGAAATGGTGAGAATAAACATTCTTGTCTTGCTCCTCGTCTTAAAGGGAAAACACTCAGTTTCACCATTAAGTATAATGTGAGCTGTGTCAAAGATTTTAAATCATATAAAAAGAACTCAGGAACCAAACTGAAAAGGCTCCAAAAATGGGCCAATTTAAGCATCAATGAGAATAGCAGCTTCTTTGAGTTAAAACACGTTAAATATATTTAAATCCATTAAGTTCATAATGAAACTAAAGCACGTAACAAAAACACTAAGTGATCATCGTTGGAGGAGGCTAGTGATGCAATACATTATTCTGAAAACTAAAAAAGGATTAGGAGGAAGAATCAGGCATTTATCTCACCTTTCCTATACCAACTGTTCCTTTGAGTTAACAAATCACAAAAAAGGGAGGACTGTCTCTGTAAAAGTATTACTACCAATAAATGAAAAAATGACAAAAAGTCACCATTTTGCAACCCCTTATACTTAATGAATCATCGACAGTGACTGATATCACAAAAGAGAGACAACCAGACAGGATGTGTCCCTGGTAGAACACTTTGTTGTAGGAAAAAAATTTTTTTTTAGTTTGAAATACTCAGACTTCTTGATCTACCACTTTCTAAGATTCACAGAGGACAGAAGAACATGGTAAAGGACACCATAGGGATACAATCAGCAAAATCCAGATTGTGGGAAGCTCTGAAGGACAAATGACCTGGATTCTTCAATAAATTGAGTGAAAAAAGAGAATAAGAGAATGCTAGAGTAGAAATATATAGATTAAAAGAGACAAAAGATGTGTCAATATATAGACCTTACTTGGATACTGAGCCAAATACAAAAATAATAAAATAAAATAAATATATACATATATATGGTATTTTTGAAACAACTGGAATCTTCAACTGTTATAGGCATTTAATGATATCTAGAATTATTAATTTTTAAGAGTGATAATTGTCATGCAGGGTATTTTTTTTAAAAGAGACCTTATATATTAGAGCTACACACTGAAGCATTTACTGGTGAAATTGTGTAGTGTATAACATATGTTTCAAAATAATGTGTGTGGTCATGGGGGGGATGTGCTGAAACCAGATGTGCCATGTGTTGGCCATTGTTGAAAGTGGATGATAAGTACTTAGGAGTTTATTACACTAGCCTGCTATATTTGTAGATGTTTGAAATTTTCCATAATAAGAATTTTTTAAAAAAAAGATGATCATGGGATTTGAAGTGAGCCCAAGGTTACAATCTTGGCTCAGTTCTTTATGAGCTGTATGATCTTGAACAAATCATTTGGTCTCTCTGTCGTGGTAAACATTATGCATGCAAGGTGCCCAGCATGCTATCCACCATGTAATACATACTAATAATGATAACTCGGCCCCTTTTTCTAGGGTCCCACTGCCAGGAGCAATGATGGTGAGACTTGGACTTTGAAATGGTATGTTGTAGGGTAATGGCTGGAACATTAAGCATTGGAGAGGACATCTGTCTGAGGCACCCACACACTCATCCACCACTTTAAGGCAAAATACATTTTTCAAATTAGGTGCATTGGAGACAATTGATAATAGAAGATCAGAGGAGTGAGGTGTTCTTGAGAGGTTTTGGGTGTGGATATTAAATAGGAATTTATGGAGCCACGGGGAGTTGCAGCCAAGGCTAGGTTAATCCTACAAAAGGAATGGTCCGGATACTGTTTCCTGAGCCTGAGTATAACTTTAGAAATCAGTGTGCCACATTGAGATACCACCTTATACCGGTTAGAATGACCAAAATCAACAAGACAGTAGACAATGTGTGTTAGAGAGGATGTGGAGAAAGGGGAACCCTCTTACACAGTTGGTGGGAATGCAAGTTGGTGCAGCCACTTTGGAAAACAGTGTGGAGATTCTTTAAGAAATTAAAAATAGAGCTTCCCTATGACCCTGCAATTGCACTACTGGGTATTTACCCCAAAGATACAGGTGTAGTGAAAAGAAGGGCCATGTGCACCCCAATGTTCACAGCAGCAATGGCCACAGTTGCCAAACTGTGGAAAGAACCAAGATGTCCTTCAACAGACGAATGGATAAGGAAGATGTGGTCCATCTATACAATGGAGTATTATGCCTCCATCAGAAAGGATGAATACCCAACTTTTGTATCAACATGGACGGGACTGGAAGAGATTATGCTGAGTGAAATAAGTCAAGCAGAGAGTGAATTATCATATGGTTTCGCTTACTTATGGAGCATAAAGAATAACACGGAGGGCATTAGGAGATAGGAGAAGGGAGTTGGGGGAAATCAGAGGAGAAGACAAACCATGAGAGACTGTGGACTCTGAGAGACAAACTGAGGGTTTTGGAGGGGAGAGGGGGGCATGTGTGAGCCTGGTGGTGGGTGTTAAGGAGGGCACGTATTGCGTGGAGCACTGGGTGTAGTGCATAAACAATGAATCTTGGAACACTGAAAAAATAAAGTAAAATTTAAAAAAGAAAAGAAAAGATATCAGTGTGCCGAAAACAGCTCAGGTCCACGGCCATTCCTCCTAGAAGCCCCCTTTCTCTGTCACTAATGGATCATTTCCAGGACCCTGACACCCGCCTTATACTCCATGCAGACAACTGAGGTCAGCCTGCTCCCCCAGCATCCGTGGGCTTCCTGGAGTCTCTTGTCAGCCCCTTCCCCTGGCCTAGCCCAGAGGGAGCAGACTTGGTGCTATAAAGCTTGGATCTGGCTGATCAGCTATTGTTCCGCTGAACTCTTATGATGTGTCCCTGTGGCTTCCCTTGGAGAATAGATGAGGTCCTCGTTCCTAGCAAGCCTCCCAAAGCAGTGTCGGGATGGCTTCTAAACAATGAGCATCTCCAGAGAGTCCCCTTTCCCAGCTAGAACCCGAACCTGTGCAGGCTCCCCATACCTCTTCCCCTTCTATTATTTATTGTCCTTGGTCCCATCCCTCCCACCATGAGGCACAGAGAAGGGCCTGCGTACAGGGAAATGCAGTTCTTGCAGTTCCAATGGCCTCCAGGCCCTGACCCCAAATGTGAAACAGCCTCCTGTGACAAGGCACAAAGTGTCCTAGAGCAGGGGATGCTGCTCCTGAGACCAGAGCTAAGTCTCCACCCCAGGGGGCAGTTAGAGAATGAGAAGAGCCGCCCTTCACGGCAGCCTGCACACGTGTCTCCACACCTTTCCTTCTCATCTTTCCAACACAGAATGGCCTGATTTCAATGTACCCTTAGAAGTATGTGGTCTAGTCCAAAATGTCAATAACCAGCATGACAACAATTGCTATGACAACAAGAAGGGCCACTTGTCAAGTGTTCACAGTGTGTTAGCTAGAGGTGAAGCCCTTCCTACCCACTTCTCCTGGGAATCCCATGACAGCTGTAGCAGATGAATACTGTTAGCCTCGCTTTACAGATGAGAAGGTCTGGGACACAGAGAAGGGAATTAACTTTCCCAAGGTCACACAGCTGGTAAGAACAGAACCAGCGAACCAGCCCACTGCACCCCTTCCTGGCATCTTGCCATAAATCCCTGGCACATCCCCAGGTACCCTCTCCCCTTCTCTAGTAGCAACGACCCCAGGGCACTTTCAGAGCCCATGGTCCCTCTCACGGCAGAACATTTCATATAAAGGAAGGATCGTCTGAACCCGATTTAAAATTGTTCCTTTAGTTCTTCCTTTTGTTGCAAGGAGAGGAAAGGAATCTGGAAAAGGAATGTCTCCTCTGCTTATCTCCCTTGCACACAGACCCAGCAAGAGCAGTAATTGATGGCTGGAATGCAGCAAGGTTGATAGGACGCCAAATGGAACCCCAAGAAGCCACAGCGACAGCCCGAGTCTCTTGGACAGGAGCTAGCTTATTAACTTTCAACCTGGTGTTTGCTTCTGACTTGTTTATAGGGTCTTCCCAATCTGGGGGACAAGGAGCAGGAAAGCTAGTGGGGAGCATTCCGTGCCCTCCCCTCCCCCCACCGCAGTCTGGCCACTGCGAGCTATTTATGGAAGGATAGGGAGGAAAGGGTTGTCAGGCCCGGCTGGGGCTGCTATCTGCCAGATATGAAAACCAATTGCTTTTCATAATAAATTCCAGCTGGAGCCATAGAAATAACAGGGACCAAGAGAAGGTAACACCAATTTGCTTTATTTGATTAGCTCCTTCTTGGGCGGTCCAACCCCAGCTTCTTTTCATTAAAATAAGGGCAAATTGAAAATCGTAAAAGAGGCTTTCTTATCAGGAAACAAACGATTGGGTAGATTCGGATGCCTAAAAGCCCCCTCAGCCGCCAGCCGTCAGTGCCTGCGCCTGCTGGCGCTGCTCCAGCCGTGCCCGTCCCCAGGGGCTCTGGTGGAGGGTGTCCTGACACCTGTTTTCATGCTCCAGAATAGAGGTGGGGACAGCCTGCCCCGCAATGAGTGCTGCGTACACCCAAGTCCCGCAGGCCGTCCTGTACCCCGTGGACAGCCAGGCCAGGGGGACCCCCGGGGAGCAGTGCCATGCTCTCCTGTCCACAGGCCAGGACATCTCTGTGGGGGACTGACGGCAGAATGAGGGGACAACTCAAGCTGCCGGAAGCCAGTCTGTTTTCCCGAGGGTCACTCTGTGCAGCCTGCTGACCGCAGTTTTGTTCCTGTAAATGGAGACTGGGGGTCACTGGAGAGACTGCCCATAGGAGGAGATGGTAATGACCATCAGTCCAGGGCAAGTCCGCAGGGAGTCCTTAAC